CCATGCCTGGCATCTGGGATTTATTTCTGGTCAGAAGAGCACGTGGACAACTCATGACTCAATGCTGACGCTCAACAGGTGTGGAAACTATCCCCAATTGGCAACAAAAGTATTGCTGCAGGCGGCAAGCGAGTTAGCCCTTCATTTATGGTCAGTAACAATTTTGAACAAATTTGGAAGCAATTTGAGGAACATCACTGTCTTGTGTCAACAACTAAAACATTTGGGAACGGTTTTTATGGTGCTGCAGCTGTAAACCTGGGAAAGAGAGAACGCTTACTTTGGTTTTGGGGTGGTTCTATTCCAACAGAGATTTCACGGGTATGGTTTACGCATTAACAGTTATCGCTCCGTATTATGTTTAAAATGCACCATAACAAAGAAATCGTAAATTTATACAGGGTAGAACCTAACGAAACCATTTCAACAGCAAAATATGAAAATAGCTGTCTTGGGCGAAGATATTGAATTGATACTTGTAGTATTGACGGAGGATTAATGAAGCCGTTTAACTGCCTAGATCAGAAAAAATCCAGCTGGTCACTTACATTCTCAACAGGAGGACGTGTGGAAATAAAGGGTCGATGATATCTGCATCCTTTCCTTGAGGAGTTGGACGATGACGGAATTAATTGCTTTATAAGGTGAAGGGCTTTGCGAAATAGAATTAGAAATGAAGGCGTAGCAGATGTTTCCAGGGCAAAGTTTGCTGGACGTTACGGGGGATTACTTGCTAGGGCCAAAACCATCCCAATGACTGATTCGAAAAGTCCCTAATGCCGTTTTGCAATACAGAGAGCAAGAACAAACCCCCCACATGATCAAAAAAGCAACCTTAAATAATATATATATATATATATATATATATATATCATGTCCTATTCTACACAGTGGAGATTGTTGGTAATTACTATAGTGACCTATTCAAGCACAGTGAGGAGCCAGCCTCCTTCCTATTGCGTAACCTTTCCTCTACTCTGCCAACTATTTCCGCGTGGCACGCTTCTATGATAATCGACAGCAACGGCCAGTCGGTCATCATTGACGTGAAAGTTGATTTTCCCATAAGGGTAACCACTTTGAAAAAGAAGTTAAGGAATTGTACGTTACAATTAGCCAGCTAGAAGACTTGACACGTTAACCTGAATAAATTGGTCTTTGGTTCATTCGTTTTCATTTCATTTTTTTCATTTGATTTATTCCTCCAATTCCTAGCTGATACATAGTTATGTAAATATAACTGAAAAAAAATATATAGTAACAGATAAACATTTACAAAGGAAATAAACGCGTAAAATAGAAATTACAACACTTAAATTGAATTACATTGTATATTGGAAGGAGAGGAGATCGAGGGGCACATCTAGATAAACTAATATTGTGCCCCTTAAAGTTATGTATAACAAAGGACTTAAGATTATTAACAAAAAAGTAAAGGAAAAATGACAAAATAGCTCAGAAAGTTGTAAAAAGGATATTGATTCATTAGTATTGAGCCAGGTACCAGCATAAAAGTGCTTTTTTAGACATTTTTTTAGATGGTTTGTCTCTAATGGATTGCGGAATATCGTTCCAAAAGAAACTTCCAATAATGCTGGGGCAAAATCTCCTAAGATTAGTTCGAAATATAGGTATTGCAACTTGATTGGACGATGCACTGCGGGTACTGTAATTATGTAGTTCAGATACTAATGAAACAGGTATATTAGGAAACTTTTCATGGTGGAAATAATCATAAAAAAGCATACATGTGTTCAGTTTAACAATATCAGGAAATTTCAGAAGGCCTAAGGATGTATAGTGTGGAGTTATTGATTCCATTAAAGGAACATCATTCATAACACGAACCGCTTTGTTTTGTAACAGATCTCAATTGTTTCTTCTTTTGACGGTCTTCCCATATCAAATCATCCGAAACGCGCACACCATCACGTAGATCCCGCTTCTTTTTAATAACTCTAAACAGTTCCGGACGATACAAAAACTTAGCCAAAATTGGTCTGGGAGTGCCATCATCCTTGAAGGGCCCTATCCTGTGGGCGTTCTCGATGTTTGATTGCAGTTGGAGATCATTTTCTATGATATCACGGAGCTTTGCAATACAATCTTCGCCTGTTGATTCTGGGATGTTGTAAAATCTCAGATTGTAGTCCCTAGAATATGTCTTCAGGAACAACAATCTCTCGTAGGTGTCATCGATCTCTTTTGCATACTTGGTGATATCGTTCTAGATTTGGTCGATTCTTGTGTTAGCTTCATGCAGTTGTCCTGTTAATACCCCCAGCTTTGTATTCAAAGATTCCTTCAGTTTTGAAATCGAGCTTTCATTTTTCTTGATTTGACCCTGAAGAGATTCAATGTCTCTCTGAATCTTGACTTGAGTTCCTTTCATTTCTTTTACGTCGTCACTTATTGAATTCAACCGGTGGCGTAAAAACGCCTCAAAATCCTCTTCCACAACTTCTTTTTGCTTTCCTCTTTTTGAAGACATTGTTTGTTACTTGTTTGATTAGTTTGTAAAAGTAAAAGTAAGATTTACGTGAGAAATTATGTCAAGTTGGCAGGGCCAACAAAAACGCGGCCATCATGCTCGCTGACCGCTGACCAATAACTAGTAACATTCCTCTTAGGTTCATTCGTTCGTTCATTCCTGTAAGAATGTAGGTTCATGCATGAAACGCAATGGAGGTAAACGCCATCCATTGCGCGCGGTTATGGAGGAATTTAGCCTGCTCCAGGCGTTCCCTGTCCTCCCTCGTTTTCCCCGAATACATCATCAGATTACGGTAATAATGTTGCTATACCCTCAAACATTTGCAACCTCCCTTGACAAAAAATTCAATTAGATTTCACACCTCGAGCTTATGGCCTCTCCTTCGGCTATGCGAGGTTGAAAAGAGAGCTTGCCACACCTAAAAAAGGTTCTCACCCAGTAAAGCTCAGTGATGATCGTTAAACAGTAACTGTTTCTCTGAATTACTTCTAGTCATTGAAAATAGTCTGAAAAAGTATTTCCCTGCAGTTGATGTATTTCCTCCCTGTCCCACTAAGAGAAGACGAAGCGTTTCTTTCGTGACAGATTTCGAGGACATGTTACAGTGCACCTCTCTCTTAACAGACACTTCTAGACGAATGACACCTAAAAGAGGACAGTAAGGGTTTTTCCCTCTGTTTTTCAGTTATATTCTTTGACTCTCTCAAACGCGAACAGTTCTGTAAGACGGATACTTGGTGACGTTTCAAACGGTGCCCTTAGGGAGAGTTGACTTAAGTAACTCTTGAGTGCTACGCTAATGCAAATCTGGAAACAATCTTATTTCAGGTTTGGACCCTCAGATGGCGTTACTACAAGCTGAGAAAGCCATAGAAAACGTTCGTTCAGAGCTGAATGACGAATGGGATTTTCATGGACTTTACTCGGGGAATGGGTACGGACTTGATGGTCTCCCATGGTGCACCTCGCACTATGCTTTTCACATGGTATTTTGGCACATTCCTTTTGCGATCTCGGGCCAGTCCTTCTCTGTGCCAGAACCAACACTTTCATTTGAAGCTAAGCTCCCTTGTCCGTATAACGTTCCCTTCTATACATCGTTTGCCACGTGGACTTTGCAATGTACCTTTGTCCAAAAACGAAATCAAACCAAAATGAAGTTTCAAATTATGTCGACCTCAGGTGGCATGTTTCTGCAACAGCTTGCGGTCAGCGGCTTTCGATATCCAAGTGGACTAACGCTGAAACAGGGTGAGGCAGTCACGTGGTTTTCACATTAATTTCCAAGGTTGCTTCAGTTTGAATTGCCTTTCTTTATAATTGATTGATGAGTTGTAACATATCGCAGGAGAAATTCGTTTAGTCTCAATTGTTACGGGCGAGTAATACAAAGCTAAGAAGGATTCCCATGTAAGAATTATGAAGATTATCATAATAATGAGGGTGGCCAAGCGTCGTCATTTATATTGTTGAAATGACCTTACCCTATGGAATATTCCAAAGTGACGTAAATGGTGAATGGGGTGAAACTGAACAATGTCAAATGCCCGAAAGGCTATATTCAAATTTTATACGATTGTCTCTGTCTTTGCCATCTGTTTATAAGTTTAGGCATAAGAGTTTGAAAGAAATCATTAATTCATTAGTTTTTTTGCACTGTTTATTTTAATTCCAGCAAACTTTCGAAGGTGCCACAATTTTATTTTCTGTGCACAATATAAAACAGACTGATAATTAGCAAGTTTAGGGGAGAACAGTCGTTCTTGTACAATAAACCATACAACTACGTCCTTAACTTGTGAAACTAATAGTTAACAGCCCAAATTTAAGTAACTTGACATAATTGACTTTTAAAAGAATTCTTAGTTTTAGTTTGAATTCTCAGGGATTTTCAATTCGAGCCCGTAAAACTAGACAAGTCAGTAATTGACAAGTAGATAAGACTCGCAATTCCTTTCTTTTTTCTTCCATATAAATACGCAAATTTATTTTCTTACACATTTTTTTCTACGATATAAATGCGCTTTATTGCTAACATTTTCTCTACCCATGGGTAAGAAATGGCACAAATGACCACTTTTCTATTTGAACTTTTTAGCACTTCCTTCCTTAATACTAAGATAACTAATTTGGAGAGGTTTGGGGCATGCAGCGAAGCGTGAAAAAAAAATCTAAAAGGTTCCATGGGTGCATATTTGAATTATAGGAAAGTATCTCGAGTAAAAACCGTTAATGATGATGATGTTCGAATCATATAAGAAACCAATAAATGACAAGGGCACGCATCCCACCACTCACTCTTGACAATTGCATTTGATCAGTGACAGATCCAAAGGGAGGAGAGGGAAGGGGTCGAGACCCGTTATACCAGCTACGTTTTGTCCACTTCGAGTCCTAGTAAATACTGTAACTAACCATGTACTGAGAAGAGTCAGTACTTACACTCCAGTTAATGTAAGAAAACCGATTTTCAAGGAAATGTTATGAATCAAATTGACATTATAATTCAAGCGTTAGCAGCGTCTCGCTTGTCGTGATAATTGTCACACAGTTCAACAGAGGTTCTCCAAGCATTGATCACGTGCTTTAGTTGCACTTCCGATGGCAATGCGTCCAGTCCTGGCACTGGTTCGTATCCTTTGTTGTCAAGATGCCACTCGATGTATTCACCCAGGCTGAATAAAAGGAGACACAGCCGTTGTAAGATGATACGCAAATTATCCAGGTCATATTTAACCACTAGGGAGTGGGTTGGAACACAAGCCGAGTTTTGTAAACTGAACTATATCAGATAAAATATTTCTCTGAATCTTTGGTGTAGCTTCTTAATATGATCAACAATAGTAGATAGGGGAGGGAGGGGGAGCAGCGTGGACGTTGGACTTGCAATCCAGAGGTCCTAGGGTCGAGTACATCTCTGACCACTATCAAGACTTGCTTCTCGACAGTCCAACATAAAACGCCGAGTTCATGCTGATAAATAGCCAACTACAGATAAACATTCCACAGATGTCTACGTCAACCATAGAAATACTGGTCATAATAGAAGCAATCTCTCCAAAGTTACCTCATTTCTTCTTCTCCGGGGACTGCATCACCTCTTAAGTTTAGCAAAATAAGTTCCAGGACCTCACAGACAAAGCGATCCAAGTCAATCCTTCTCATCCCACTGCTAAACTTCATCAGCTCAGGTCGGGACATGACCTGTTTGTATTTGTCCGAAATCTGCTCAAACGGATCCTGCAAAGGCAATAACACTGAAAGTTAAGTCTTACTTTAAGCATTGCTGTTTACACATCTCTTACAGGATTACAGTACATAGATCAACAACTGAAAAAAACTTAAATTAATCGTGGTGTGCTAAGCAAGTGTAAGTAAGCTCTCTATTTCGAGTAATGAGCGAGGCGAGTCACAAGAGATTGCGTGGGCGAGTGGCAAAGCCCCGTGCCCTCGCGCCTTTTTTCGCTACCCGCTCGTGCGCGACTCCTAACAATATTCCCCAAATACAGAGCTTGTTCTAAGCTGCTTTGAGTCTGATATCGTATGTATATACAGTCTTGGAGGTCTGATTGGTTTAATTGGCTATTTGCGTTTGTCTCGATTGAACGGAGTAACTACTTTCTCGTTTATTATAGGACACTCAAGTAAGAAGTCGCTTTTAAGTCTCCTTGTTTTTAGTTTTGTTTTGATGAGAAAGTTGATAATTCCTCAGCTGAATGTTGTTACGAAGTCTTTGCGAATGTCGTGCAAAGGTTAAATGTAAGTTAAAAATGGAAATATAAAATGTTCCTTACCTCGCCTCGCCTTATAAGAATTCTGGCTCTTTCAAGGGTGAGAAGTCGCCAGAGAGAGATCACGTGACGTAACTGACAGTACTGCTGGGCCTGAAAGGGAAAACAGAAGAAAAAAGACACGTAGAATGTATTGGATTCAACCCAAGAGGAATCTGTTGGCAGCAGAATACGCGGAGTGATATGCATTCGAAAGGGAAAGGGGAAGAGGAAAATCGGGCACACAAACGCGAAGGTTGCTGCAAAAGTCAATTCTTTACTGTACAAACTTAACTTGAGTTGTAGCTACAATTTATACCTTCAAACTCCGTAGAGTGTTTTGTTGCATTCGTAGCACCCCTCCTAGATAGTTACTGAGGAGCCTTTCAGGGGCTCCCCCAGTGGAAGATAGAAAACCAATGGCAATGTCCAAAGGTGACAGCACGTCACAGATGTCAGTCAGGGAGCGAAACTCGCTTATGACCTGACGGCTTACTGCTGAACTCAGAGGAACCTGAGAAAAGACAAAAATATATCCGTAGTTTAATTGAATCTCACAGTTCTTTAGAGTGCCTCTGTGCGACTGGTCATGGATATTACGACAACTAGCGCTGATGCTTGACTACATTCAAGTCTTAACATATTCGAAGATGAAGGTGCCTCCTTCGCTTCCGATAACTGCAAAAAAACTGAGTACTCAAGTGACTATCAGTCTACTTTACAATCGAGGCATGTGTCACGCGGGGTAACCGTTTCTCGTACAATTAATTTCAATGTCGTTATACTCCTTGAGGCTAGTCTGCAGGTTAGCTCTAGTACACTAATAAGAATGGTTTTACCTGAGGAACTTTAGCCTTTACAGCAGCAAAGACAGAGTCTAGTTGGATATCTTTACTGAATGCAAACCTCTCATCCTGCAATAACAATTGAACAAATTGGGCTTTTAAAATCAAGTATAATAAATAGAAAATGGATCAGCAACAATGAACGCTTAACACTACACTCTTCTTTGAAGAGTAAATGAGAGTAAGTACGGGACCGTGGAAACCTTTTTTAGAAAATAAATACATGTGTGAGTCATTAACTTACTAAATAAATATATAAATAGTGAGTAAAGAGAGAAATCTGACGAAACACTTTGACCGATATGCCAGCGTGCCACACTTGCGCACTTGAGGTCCCAAAATAGTCTCCTCCGACTATTTTGAAAACTAGAGGGAGGGGGTATCACGGCTCCGAAAGTCCAACCCCTTTTTTCTCTTGGTGCATAGATTTACTGACGAGCAGCTATGTATACTGAGTGAAAGTCTTCAATAGCTCTCGTGAACATTCACCGTGACTGTGATGCTGTCATTGTTAATTTTTCCTTTCTTTTCTTTTTATTCGCTAATCTCTTTTCGACAGTTTCAGCAATGAGAATCCTACGAAAAACGTAAAAGAAATTGTTCTTCCACGGGGAACTTACGCAATCTATCTTAATTGCTGTATAATTCAGCTTTCTTAGCTTGAGTGACTAATTTTAGGCAAAACAGTTGAATGGGCCTTTGTAGAGTTGTTTGACGGCAACGGTAACGAATGCCTCTGCCGCAGTTTTTTACAATGTGGAACGTTTCAGTGTTGTTCTTTACAAAATGTGGTTTGACAACCCGATCGAAAATGATTAAATTTAAGGATTTATAGGGAACGTAAACACTCAAAGGTGTTTACGTCAATGATTATGGGGAAAATTAGTACACAGAGATTTCTCGATATAAACTCAACAATCGTCCGTCAATGGATTGGTCTCCCCAATCTTTCAATCTAAATTTTACGTGGAAATTACACAGTCCACAGTTTACCTTGAAATCAACAAGAGGTTTTCTCCTGATGAACCTGTCAATCAGCTGTCTTTCCAGTGCGTCCCAGTTGTACTGTACCAACGTTCCCCGACCCACCTCCAGAGAGTAGTTGCATTGAGCCAGGATGAGCGGAAGTAGATCTCTGTCAGTGTCATAAGCAATCAGTTGTGATGTGGTTACGTCTTGTAGCTGTATGTGAGACAGGTCCCTAGAGATCAAAAAGGACAAACGGTGTTAGTATACGTACTGACCGCAAAAATATTCAAACATTTACCTCTCTCGGCACGGTTCCAGGATGTAAACTTTGTTTTTTATTGTAGATACTTGACATCTATCTAGCAATAATTTTTTTTTTGCGTATTATTGCATTTCTTCTGTTCAGTTTTAGTTAGAAATTCGGTTATTTTGTCTTTGGATAGCCGTGAACGCTATTTTCCTTTAGTTCAGTCTGGCATAAACAACTTTCGCTGCCATGCCATACAGCTCTACACAACTGAGGCGGCTACTGCGTGGAAACGAGGCTGCTAGTAATATACCATAGTATCGATGGGTTATTTACGTTATTGACTACATTTTTCAAATATGGTTAGCACCGGCTGGTTATGAGGGAGGATTGGAGCCAATCAGAAACGGGGAAATATTTTGAATAAACAGTATTAATATTAAGTAATAGCATGATTTGTAGTGATATTTGGCATAAATACCACGAGTGATATTTCGAAATTGTTATACGTAATTTCACGAGCCGTTAGGCGAGTGAATTTGAGACATTTTGAAATATCGCAAGTGGTATTTATGCCAAATATCACGTACAAATAATGCTATTATTTGTTTACCCTACTACCCACAAAAGGTTTGTAATAATTTTCACATGTAGGTATTTCAAATTAAGCTGAAATACCACTGCTCTAAGCCAATCAAATTGCAGAAATTTCTCATGTAGTAGTATAAAATTGAAAAATATAACAGCCCCAGAGGAGAGGGAGGATGAGTAACAAGAAAGATACTTACTTGACTTCTCCGCCGGTCAAATTCTGGTACCGTTCGTTAAACTCGTTATGCAACATGGTGAGAAAAAATACCAGAGCCATGGAGCAGATGCCCAACCCAGACGTACTGGGCAATAATACTGCAAGAGGACGCGAGATATCCATGGACTTCTCGCATAAATCACTTGAAGGACGAAGGCGCCCTGTTTAAATAAAAGGATTGGTTAGTGTTAGATCCCGGAGTTACTCCTGGGAATTCTAGGTAGGGGTGTACCAGTCGGATCTCCAAATCCTGACCCTATTTCAAACCAAAAAATGTCATTTTTCACACCCGTTTTCAGACCTGGCCTCTAAAATCCATTCCCATTCTCAGAACTGGCCTTTAAGAAATTATGTCATCATTACTTAGATTAGAGTAGCAACAAAAAGATTTCTTAAAGTCCATTTCGGATTGGTATATTTCTCTTTCTTTCTTACTCATTTGGAATTAAAACAATAAATACGTTCGTACACTGCCGTAGTTCTCTTAAAAACCATACCCCATTCCAGACCAAAATGAGCAGTCTATAATCCGTTTTCAGACCAAAACGTGCAAAATGCCTACCCTTTGGGGTGGCACATACCCTTTAATTTTCTTCGTCTAAAAATTCACGACTCGAAACTGTCCAATATAATTTATATTGACAGTTGTCCCTTATAAAGGATCTGTAAAATAAGACTTAATCTTCATAGCGCAAAGATAAAACCATCATCTTCCCGTTGTTTAAAACGAGCAAGTTCTTCTTGCAAAAAACCATCGACGCTAGCTTCTTGCGAGGGATATTAAAGGGTTAGATAGCAAATCTAACTCGCTCCTGCAATTCACAAAATTGTGATTTACCAGAAAGTAAAGGCAGACTGACAGGTCTAGGAAACATACCTTCCTGGTCAAGACTCAGTCTGACAAGATTCCACGCATTGTTAAAACTCATTATCAGGGAGGTGAGTTCATCTTTAGTTGTTTCTGTGGAGAATATTACGAATTAAAATTAGCGTAGCCTGCATAGCTGGCGGTACTGTGTAGTAGTCGAATGAGTTTTGGCGGCGAAGCTGCCACAAGCGGCGTAAGCCGCGAGAAATAGAAATGGAAATAGAAATATTTTAGACGCCTCGTCCCACTCCCTTCTGGATCACGGCTCCGCCGCCAAAACTTTAATCGTGCACCGAGACGATACCGCCAGCTGCGCAGGCTAATTTTGGCCCGATTTTACTGGTTATTTTTGGTCACATGGTAACAGAAAGGAGCACGGGTATCACGTGATACAACCCACGATTTTTCTGTCGCAGGAAACCATAACAAAGTTTTCATTTTTTACTTTCTTAATTCAAATTGAATCAGAAAAACCAAACTCGTTTTGTTCATGCAAATAAAAGAGAATCAACATAATATTCTATGCTGTTATGTGTTTGAAGCTTAACAAAAGGTACGAGATATTGTTATCTGCATGGACAATTTATCCGAACAGTTTCATAACATGAAGCTCTTTCTGTGCTAAAATGGCGCAGTGGAAAATGTCTTTTCACATACTGCCGTAATTCCAGAACCCATGAGGTATCATTTGAATCATGATGAAATGCTTTGTCACTTGTAAACAATAGATTCTTATCGTCAAAAGAAAATAACAAAATACTCGGGTAATAAGTTTGTTAGCACGCATTAAATCTGAATAAAAACGTTTAAAGCATCATCCACCGATGTTTTCTTTGTGATACAAACTAGCCCTTCGAACCCTGAGGCAAGGCTTTTATATAATACAAAGGAAATCCAAAGAAAATAGTCAAATGAAGACAGTCCGTTGAAATCTAAAACATAAAAGAAAGTATTTTGTTCCTTGTTTCTATCCACAGTGATCATAATTAGTTGCCAGGCTTTTATTGTTAGGTAATCTCATATTCGGACAATGAACGTACTAGAAGGAATCTTGTTTAGGAAATTTCGAATTGTGATATGCTCTGCTTCTGCCCTGTCGATTCTGCGATGGAATTTTTCCCTGAGAAGACGCTGTAGCTTAATGATATCTGGCAAAAAGCGGAGGGCACGGAGATTGTGTTCCTAAAAAAGAGGAGAAAGGAGATGATCATAATTTCTACGTCTTGTATTACACTAATAGATATCCATTACCTGCGAGTACAAAAGTACATAGTTTATTGAAAAGAGCTTAAATTGATTCGAAGGGGCGTAGACAGTTGGGCAGTATTTTTATTGCGGCTTGTGAACAAGGTCTATAGTGGGTTACAGGACAAAGAAAAAGCTACAATGAGGGACTAAAGTGTTGACACACTTCCATAAAATGGCCCCTTTTTGCATAGTGGATATACTTATCCCCTTCCCCTGTCTACCCCAACCCCTTTCCCCCAAAATCAATGTTGAATTTTGGACCCTCACGTCTTTTTTTTTTTTACTTCAGACAACATTAATTCGGGGGGTGAGGGGATTTACGGCGTTTAAAAAGAATGAAATAATAAATGAATTAAATGTTTGTTAAAAGCACCCGTTTTAAACGAGTGTGTCAACTAGGTTTGTCCCTGATTGTAGCTCCCTCGGGGGACTGTTCACAGACAGTTTTTATTGCTGCAAGGAGCCACACTGTTATTTACTTATCACTTTGTCTTTAATAGTAACATTCCTTTGCAGCCGTTGATTTCAATCACAAAATCGTATGGTGTTAGCAAACCTATTAAGCACAGGGGCCATGTCACTCTATTTGCTACATATTTAAAAAGTTAAAACTTGTCTTAGCATCAATTGAATTCCAAAAATAATGGTGCCGATTAAGATTTAGGCAGAGCAACTTTTTCCTGTTGTCCTTTGTAACGGATGGCAAGGATGGTGAAACTCAATTGTCAATGCTGTGCCTGCAAAAATCACCCGAAAATTGTTGTGGTTTAATAGTGCTCCCTGATGACACTTATTTGGTATCTTCTTCATAACTGCTCAGGAGCATTTTGTGTATGGGAAAAGTCTCTAAATAAAAACTTTTGCACAGCATTGACCCAAGACAGCAATAGCCTGGTAACAAAGCTCCTTAAATGCAACCTAACTTGCACTCACCTGTCGTAAAAACTCCGCTAACACTTTGTTCCTCTCGGGATCGGTGGAGGCCACCTCTTGTTGAAATGTGTGTGACAGGTGATCGAGAGTCACCTGAGTTCGATATCTCCACAGTGCGGGACATGTAGGAGAGATACTCACAGACAGATCATCAGGTGTGATGTCTACCTCATATAGCTGGCGCATCAGGGGGTTGTTGCCTGAAAGAATCGGAATGATACATTTAACGTAATGGGGTTTTCTGCTTTTCAAAACTACACGACGCGGAAAGCACATCATGTTTTCTATAAGGACAAAACGGATTTAGATAAAACAGTTAATGAAAATGTAAATTAACTGAAAAAACTGAAGTAGATATTAACGTACACAAAGACCCGGTTAAATTTTTCTGACCCACGAGACTCCAGTTACCGTTTGGAGGCTCTAGCCACTGAGCTATGAGTGACTCATATAGTGAGCGTGAGGTGCAATTGAGGTACTCAGAATTTCGCATGTAACGAGTACAGTGGACACTAATCAAAGGCAAAACACTCACTAAATTACCTGTATCTCGAAAGCAAATTAAATAAGAGTTGTGTCAGTTATAGATTTAGTGATCGCATTGGGTGGTTGAATCACTAAATCTATTAAGTGTTCACAACTCTTAGTTTAGGTGCTTACGATATGCAAGTATTTAGCTTTGCTTTGATAAGTGACCTGTGTCCTCTTGAGATGAGAAGTCCTGTGACTACCTCAAGCGTACGTTCTGCTCACTATATGAGTCACCCATAGCTCAGTGGGTAGAGTCGTCAAAAGGTGATTGGAGGGTCGTGAGATCGATTCCTGCTAGGGGCTTGGTTTTTTTTCCGAGCATTCCTTCGTGTACTTTAATGTGTACTTCAGTCTCGTCGCATTGGGTGGTTAGTTGGTTCTCTAAAATTATTAACTAAAAGCAAAAATATAGACAAATAAATAAATAATGTACACTTCGAAATAACACGTAAAAACATACCCAGTCGATTGTCTCCAACCATCATTTCCAAGCAATTTTGGATCTTTCCCTCGAGGTTCTTAAGAAGTGAGAATCAAATAAGAAAATCCAAAAGCATCAAAATGATATCATTATTAATTATATCATTATTTTAAAGTAAAGTCGGCATACCGTAAGCACTGGAGCCACCACACTGTTGCTGAAAGCTGTTTCCCATTTTCTTCGAGAATCTTTGGACCTCAAATCAGGGGCGACATTCACGACTGGTTGTCCTAAAATAAAAGCAAGAGATCTGAAAACGGGTAAAAGATTTCTTCGTGTGAAGGGAACGCCTTTCTTGCATGACACATAGACACTTGACCTGTAGGAAGCTGCAAGGTTTATTTTCTAACGAAAAAAAAAACCTTCCAATAACTCAAGTTGATTAAAATAAGAAGTGGTTATTTCTTCTCTTTGCCATGCTCTTTTCAAATGTCGCTGGATTTTTTCGTCATCCCCTCGTCTCTCCCAAGAATGCTATGGATTCACTGATGCCCCCTCCATCTTTCAAAGACTGGTGATACAAAGACGATCATGTCATCAAGTGTCAGAACTTCTTTTTTTAAAAAATTTCACCAGAACTACTCAGGGAACACGGGTTCATAGGGCCTTAAGAAAGTAAATGGATCTCGTTGGGCATTTTTAAAAAGTTTGGTCAGTTAAGTATTTAAATGTTTCAGTTGCCCATATTATTTATATGCATTGCTTTCTGTGCACTTTTAACACAAATAACGTGGACATTTTAGGTCCTTGAACAGCGAGAGCAAAATAAGTTTCGACTTAACAGAGTTACTCAAGTGATGCGTGGTAGCTGCGTAAGCTTATTCCGAATAGATCCGCGTAAGAGCGAATACCTGTACGCAACGCAGTCATTTATAGCATTTAACATTTTGAATTTCCAGTTTAACTTAATTAACACAAGTAACGTTAGGTAACTCCAATTTAAGCACAACACAAAACCCTCTGATCCCTTAGCCATGGTATGGTTGTCATTTTTGGTCGGTGTGTGACTGTGCTTTTCAACTCACGGTTAGAAATAAGCGCGGTCATTTGCATAAGAACCATGTGAACGCAAAGAACTGTATCATCCACACTTCTTCCAAGGCTTTTGGCGAGAAGCTGTAGGTCCATCTGGAGGTGATCCCATAAAAACTGCGCCAAGGCCGCGGGGGGAACTTTGGGTTGGATGAGGGCACCCAAACCCTAAACAAGGACACAAAACAGGGATAATGAGAAACAAGTTATCCATCCATACTATCATAAATATTACAGCAGTCAATGTTTTACTCCCTTCTAGATGACTGGCATTCACATTTGAGTTCATTTGATTTTAATTTCGGTGGCAATACACAGTTTAAAGGGGCCTTGCTTAACTGGGTAATTCTAGCAATATAGTATACATCAACAACGCTTCGAAAATATATTAATCCAGATACTAAATAACAAAATGCGACAATTGCTCTATTTATTTGTCAGCAGTGACGAGCTAAACGGATTATTCCAGGAAGGGATCTGAAAGCAACTAAGGAAATAGTCTGCTTGGCCTCTAAAGTTTGAGGAAATTCCATGAGACAGCTTCTAGCTGCTTCTCTAAAATAGAAGCGTGTGTTAGCCTTTTTCAACACTGCCCTTACCGTCTAGACATAAAAAGCGACTTTTAATCACCTGTGGTTGGCGGCAGGCTCCTTCTATCATAGCGCAATACATAAGAACCCTTGTGACTCCCACAACTACGGACGAAAGGTTTCGTTCAGGAACCAAACCTTTGGCCCTTTTACTGGGATGCCCAAGAACGTGGCCTGTCATTGTGCGGTCAGCCCTACAGAACAAGAAAAATATACTTGTAAAAGACCTTTCATGATCAATGTGTTGAGTCGATTTGAGAAAACTAATTTCTGATGTGTCTGGTTAACCCACTATATGACAAGAATAATGAGCATCACACTTTGTCTCTGAACGTCAGGATTCTACCCTTAGCAATCCGGCAACCAGTTAGCTTGTTGGATTAGCGTACATCTGCCGAGCGAAAGGCAGCGGGTTCAACCTCGGCCAAACCAACAGACAGGGTCTTGAAATAACTGAGGAGAGAGTGCCGCCTTTGTCATGACATCTGCAAACGGTTGGACTTTCTAGTCTTCTCGGCTAAGAAAGCTGACATAAAATTTTCTGGGACGATAAAGAACCCACACACTGTTCGTAAAGAGTAGAGAATGTGGTCCCCGGTGTGGTGGTCTATCTCAACTTCACTTTCAGATCAGGTGGCATTCATAAATCATTGCTTAATCAATTATAAATTGCGCATTAAACAGTCGGGCTAAAGCCCCCCCAGTTTTGCTAGTTATCCATGAAAAGCACCGAAGGGAATGGATACTATAAAATCGTAATGTACAATTGCAATTACAAACCAACGCGTCGATCTCTTAACCTACAATCCCGGACAAAACTACCTGAGTTAAGTTTTCCCCATCATGTCCACTTTTCTACGCAACAAAACTATTTCCAAAACGACGCCTTTGCGGAAAGAAATCTCCTTCCTCCAGTTCAATGTTGCTTCCTACAAACGCCCAGGAATCAGGCTTTCTTTTGAATCACAACAACATTGCTTTCAGTGGAAGGGGGAGAGGGACGAACCGATACAGCTTCGATGTTTAGAAAAATTTTCCCCAAGTATACAATTTTCTCAACAGTTTTGTCCAAGATTGTAGTCTCAAGTTGTTGCGAAGGATAAATTTGTCCAGCTGTTGAACCAGTTGATAAGCACTTGGGATACCAATTGCATTTTCCACTGTATAGATCCCTCTCTCTAAGAGAGATCTATGGCAGCGAGTAGTTAGTGGCGAGCTGATAATTGTGGAAATCACCAAGAGATAAGCTAGCATTTAGTCCACCTAAAAGAGAACTTCCTTATGCTGAATAGTGGTAAGCTCTATGAAGCTGTGTGAGATTACAACCTTTTACCAAGTAAGATAGCCAGGCCATTTCAGAACACCACGATTACCTTGAAGACTCCTTGAACCCAACACTTTGCTTACGGATTTACGCACGTCGTTAGCCTCTTTTAAGTTCCTGTCATTTTCTGTTCACTTATACAAGGTCGGCGGGGAAAGGATAACGATAACGATACATACCTCTCAGCTATAGTATTTCCTCGAAAGGGTTTGTGTTCTTTACCACCGATTTTCATTTTACACTCAGGACAAGCCTTCACCTCCATAGGGCAGCCACACTGCAAGGTAAGGAAACAGGATCACAATGAAAATAAAACAATAAAAACGTCTAAGGAGCATGAGAAATACTCAGTTGCCTGGTATGGAATCCGGTCTCTTGAGCGACCGGTAAGACCAAGGGAACCTAGCAGAACATTGTTAGGAGAAAGAGAAACTTGTGATTTGACATTTATGTAAAAATAAACCATGAAAACAGATATGTAGAGTTGGTGACCACGGTACAAGTCTTGTTTTAAACTTGCAACTTTTAAAATGGCAGTAAAAAGCGTCACTTACTTCTCCAACGTAATAGGGATGTCCGTTGGGGCACTCTGCAACAAAATAACACCGGAAACCAAGTTTATTTATTTCACCAAACATTGCATTGTCGTCCATAACTGTCATTTGTAAACTGCCGACGTATTTGTATTCAGAAGTCGAACATCCCTGACCTTTGTTCAAGAGCGTCTCCGGACTAAACCTTCATAAATCATCGACGAAAATACAAGAGACTGTGCCTTCCGCTCAATTATTCTGGGCTTAAACTCCAGGTTTTGAAGCCGTTCAATAAACTTGCAGTTAGTATTTTCAGTTATCAAATCTAATACCAGTCGGAAACGCCTCGAATTTTTGAACTGACAGAAACAGAACACCCCTACTTTTGCTTAACATGCATTTAAAAGGAGCGACCTTTGGATACCAACAACACCGACACGCGCAATAAGCGCAATAATAGCTGACAATTCACCAAACTAAATGGCAACCTCATGTTTCAGTGACGTTTGCGGTTTTGAACGCCGGGTAGAGAGGGGGGAGGAAAGGTTCCACGTAAGTAGTTGAGCTGTATATTTCCATGTTATCACATAAACAAGTAAATTTTTTGTGGATCAAGTCTTTCACGTTTATTAATGCCAGAGAGCAAACATGGACCTTATTTTCTGTTCAAGCTATTTTGTCTTAAAAATGTCAGGCATCAAACTGCGGTTTCAAGTCAGCTAACTGCCTGCACAGCTTTAATTTACCACTTTGATACTTACGATACCATTTTCCACTCTCTCGCATTCCCGCCATTGCTTCTTGCAGATTGTCATCAGGCATGGTGGGTAGGTATGCGTTCTAAGACACAAAAAGATGGCGATGAAGACTGTAAGAGCGCGTAAGTGACGTTTTCGCCAGCTTCACCGTTCTCGGTTCTTAAGTGCCCTGTTACCTCAACAGGACAATTGCTCGATGACGTCACTTTACTACAACTACAAGAGTACTTCAGTTTGTTGTATTATTGTGCAAATAAGAGGCATTGTTTTTTAAACATAAGCGGGATTTACACAAATTTAGGAAAGCAGAAACGAAATGTAGTCAAATGTTGTCATCGTGAAAATGGTCCATTGGACAAAACAGTGTCTCTGGTCATCGGTTTCACACTCTAACCAAGCCTGCATTTGGTACGTTTTTTAACTTTATCTTAAAACTGCGAGGAGCACATCTGTTTCTTTCATTTTATTTGCAATTCATATTTTGCATTTTGGCAATCGGTAGGAACCGTCCTTCAAGAAGAAAAAAAAAAAGGAAAGAAAAGCGAAAACAGAACTGTACCATTAAGGCCGCAGGATTATCCATGAGCAGTCGCAGTGGTTCGCAAATGGTCACGTGATTAATGGACTGAAGCACAGTCGTAGTATGAATTACAAGCTCTGACAAATTCTGCTCTAAGCCTGAGCGACCAGACCTGACTCGAACACTGGGAATGTCTGGAGCACCTTGTGTATTGTCGAGGAGTTGAGCGGCAAATGGTTGGATCTGTAGGACGCAATACTTCAGAAAGTGAACATAAAGAAGCAAACAACAACAACAAAATTACTCTCACAGCCTAACCACAAAAGAAAGTTGGGGAGAAAGGGAAAAAATAACTAGATCAGAAAATTTCAGCTAATAGGATGGAAAAATTTAAAGAAAGCCACTGTATGTAGAAACAAATCTTGGGATATTAAACGGGTCTTTGAAGTGATTAAGCAAGAAAGGGGGTCTTATTCATAAGCTCGCACTATGGTATCGTTGAGACCGAAAGCCTCTTCCTGAGAAATAATATTTGGGCATAACTCTCATCTTAGGAAGTTCAATTTCTCCAACTTTTGATTTTCGTTTAAGCTTACAGACAGCAAGAGCTCATTCCATGACTTACATTTCCAGACAAATATGTGCCCTCTTGTATGAATTCCTGAAGACACTGGTGGGCCTGTTTGAGCAAAAAAGGAACAAACGTGTAGGAGGATACAAATACTCGTTTTACTTGGTTTGACGAAGAAGACCTGAAGTAATATGCTTTATTAGTGTCGCTTGCGTAGCAGCGAGACTCCTTATCTGCAAGCCGTCCTTTTTTCACTGTATCAAGTACACAAAAGGGAAGACATGGTCCCAGGCGTTCCTAGCGGAGACCTTGGAAACCGCCTGGGAATAATAATCGTTGCGCGACCGAAGCCACGCATGTTTTGCGAAGAAAGCTTAGGAAAGATTAATGCGATTTAGAACTTTTCCGGAACATGATTACTTTGGAACAAGTGAACAAAAATCATTGGTCAAAAAATAAGGGAGAATCTTGATTAGCAAAACTTCGATGGCTAACTGTTCGGGTGTTGTAAACTTTCATTGCATGCAAATGAGTAACAAAAAGTATTTGGGAGAAGGGAGAAACGTACGTAATAACGTGAAATGATAATGATATCGTCTTTGTCGATATTATGCCCCAGCCATATTTTAATAATTCAAATTTAAATTAAATTTTGTACATCTGACTGGGGCATAACATCGAAACATACGATACCACTATCGCGTTATATTTGTTTTTCTTTTCTGGAACACGTACCTTGGTGGAGAGACGACGTTCTTTGCCAGTGAAGCCATAACATGTTGTGGTAACTTCACGGAATAAAGACAACAGCAGCATAACCTCTCTTACAACGTTTGTTACGGTAACGGACTGAAATGTAACAAGAAACATCATGTGAGTCTCACAAAGTGTGAAACTTTTTTTTGATTTTTCAGTCACAGACAAAAGACCCACGCACAGGGGCGTCCTCATTCGCCACTCATAAACTACGGGAGATCGGAAAAAAGCTCTCGGCGCAAAGATTTCAGGGAACGTTTTTGGGTGGACAAGCGTTAATGACTGGTCTATGTGTATCCAAAGACGACCATTGACTAATAACTGGTTATGTTTGTTACGAACACGATCCCGAATTTGTTTGCCCTATAGTTTGTGTGATGTCATCACCTACTGCGATTAGCAAAGTTAAATACTTTGGTTTTGGATTCAGAACTTTCAACTGAAGCACACTCAACAGCAAAATATAAAGAGTACAAAAGGAAAAATAACTGATAACGTTAGACTAAAGTATTTCAGATTTGTTTATACCTTTAGTGCGTCAGTCAGCTCTCTGTTTGTTCCACCAAGCACTGTTTTGGCCATGGCTTCTCTGATCTTCTTGTATTCTTCTCCATAAATCACGAACCCATCAGGTACATTGTCTTCTTCCTGGAAAACAAACAATCAAACCAGCAAACAAATAAACACCAACAGAAAAGATCTTGCGAAGTAAACTCACGCGGACTCATAAATTTCATTTTTTCCACTGAGATTAGGGCTAACAAAAACCTTTACTCAGCTGACATATGAAAATTGAAATCACAATATCTTGAAAAATAGGCATTACCAACAAAGAAATTCATAAACAAACAAACAGCAATTCACTAAGTAATACTTAATGAACAAGTTTAGCATCGTACTCAGGAGGACACCTTGGCACTAAGTGTAAAACGCAAGTTATTCACCCCCGTCAGGGCTTTTCGAGACTTTCCCGCTACTCTTTCCGAGCAGTGTATGGGTTCTCGAAAGTCCCCATACAATTTTATGCCCGGGCAAGGTTGTCGTTATCCGAGAAGCCATTTGCAGGTGTCACAACAAAGACAGCACATTCCGATCCTGTCAGTCCTATTAAGATCCTGAGTGTTGGACCGGCGCTAACTAATTTAAGCTAATCGTGTGCTATGTCGATCACGTTTCAACAATTCTTATAATACACACATTTTCATACAATTGCAAAAGGCAATTGGTGACGGCTTTGTTTACCCAGTTTCTGCGAAAAATATTGCATTGTCACGTGGTTACAATATGGTAGATTTCCCTCGTTTTTAGTTCAGAAGTCTACTATTCAGATGTTTCAAATCACAAGTATGCTGCAAGGTTCCTAGGGTTACTGACCAAGCTGTGTAATGGGCGAAAAGTACCTCACCAACCCTAAAGCGTGGAATTTAAGTCAACAGAAACCGAGAGATATTTTAATTGAGCAATAAAATGATTTATTTTTAGATATGTTTTGTACCTGCTTGTTTCTGCTCTCAGGTGGTACAATCCACTCAAGCTCCTGCCTACCACACAGCATATGAATTGTCTCCACACCAAATCTCCTTGCCAATTGTTTGAGGAGGAAAAGTCGGGGAGCTGGGCTTAAACTCTCGTAACACAGTCTCCTTACAGTTTCAAAGAGAGTCTCCAATTTCATCTTTATCTGGCGATCATTCCAAGGCTCTGTGTTTTCTACTGTGCTCTTGTACATAAATTCGGCAGTCAGTGCTAAGGTGTAACGCGCTTTTGCAATGCCTTCCAGCACATCAACATCAAGTTCTCGAGTGGGACGAGGTGAACTTAAAATCAGCATTGGCGTACATTCATCAGAAAGTTGTTGTGCAAGTTTTATCATCGCCAGCAGAATATTCGAGGGTTTAGAATACTGACTGATCAGAGAATCCTAAAATTCAGCGTAATTATGTGAGATTTGTCAGGATGGTTTCCAATAAAGGGATTGCTATTGGTTTTATTCCATGCATTCGGAAGTTTTTCTTCGTAAACTTAACCCTTCCTCTCTTCTAAAACTCTTAAGCCCTTAAGAACACAGATGCATTTCCTGCCATTAACAGGCTTCTTTCAAACTATGAACGCGTTCTCCTTTTTGCAGCGCGTGGGTACCACCTTTATATATCTACCTCGAGTTCTAGGTAACTTAAGATAATGACTGAGGGTAATCATAAGCATGCTATGAGTAGCTCATTTCTGTTAAAAGATCGCCATCTCAAAACGACATGTAATGAATTGAAAGTTTACCTCCCAGCAGTGTACAAACAGCTGACAGACTTGCAACAAATGGCCAATCTCTGGTTTCAGTCCTCGAGCCTTCGTTAAATAGAGCGACAAGTGCTCCTTGACTTCCTTATCACTAAGCAAAAATCATACCAACCAGATAAGTTTAACAATTAATGAATAAGGCTGAGTGTCATATGAAGAATTATCCTGGACCGAGAAAAGTCCTTGGGACAGTACTGCAATATTCATTTTTTTTCTGTCATTTCTCGATTCCCTCTTAAAACGGTGCATCCTTTTCGAAAATTTCTCCCAGTTCTCCCACCCCCCACCCTATACAAAGTTGAAACTCGAAAAAAAATTCTGGATACACGCGTCCAACATTGTTTGTAGCGTGAGGGGAGGGGTTGGACTTGTGTGAATCGGAAAACGCCCCAGAAATGCAAAAGTATCCCAAGACTTTTGTCCATGATTGTCTAAAAAAGAGGTCGGTAGAAAAAACGGCAATTTTGAGGGGTTTTCAAGCTTGTAAAAGGGTTTTTCGGGCTTCTGATGAAAAATCGTTGTTAAACAAACCTTTTCCCAGCTTTTCGCAGTTTTTTGAACGTGTTTGATGACTTTGCTCGAAACGAATATTGTAGTATCTCAAAGCGCGTGATTAATTCCAAAGGATAACATAACTTTCAACAAGACTCACGTCCGAAAACAGTCAAGGGAAGCAACGAGTTACTAACATGATGGTGTACACAGTAAGAATTTCGGCAGGCCAAAGAGCTAGAGTCGTGGATATACGACAAAGCACAAGGTGCTTCACCTGGTATAAAAGTTACTCAGATATGGCAACATTACAGTCGCCATTACTCAATATGAGCACTGCGAATGTCAAAAAAATCCAGTCGGCTTGGTAGAGAAAATAACAATGTTTTCCAAAAGATAGAACGGCCGTGAAAAAAATATTAAGCGATATGAATAGCCGTCCTTGTCATTTGTACAACACAAAAATACGACACGAGCTATGCAATTGTGATGTAAGAAAAAAGCTGTTTTTCGCTGACTTCACGAGAATTGTACCGGCTCATTTTTTAGTTGAAAGTGTTGCTAATATTTATTTGTGTTTATTTGCTATTTGTCACGAACTAAGTAAACAACCAAGCTAGTTTACTTAGAACTGATTTACATAGTTCGACGGAACTCACCAACAGTACTCACTCTAAAACCTTGCAAATCTTAACATATCAGGGACTAGAGAGAAAACGCGTCTGTAGATACATAGTTTGACGCTTTTATTTACAGCGAAAACACAATTTTTAGCTGTTTAGTCACAGTACTCACTTTGAAATGGAGAGAAAAAAGAACAGGATAATTTTTCCTTAATGAATCAAGTGAGTACTGTTATATTCACTTTACGGGCTGGCCTGTTTGACGCATATTATATCAAATGCAATTCATTTGTGGTTGAAATATACGTCATTTAGCCGTGTTTCTCTAGTTAATTTGTTGCGAATATTGATGATACATCGTGTTTTTGTGATCGAGTACTTTTCGCGTTACTCCAAAAATCGTGCCTGACCAACTTCCGCAGTACTCGGCTCCAGTTAGGGGAGTGGGCCCGATATGGCTAATGAGGGAACTGCCTTGTAAAAACTTGCTATGTTGAGCAAATAGTTTCAAAGGTCGTTATTATTGCATGTTATCACCTACGTGTCTTCAAAATGCCTAAAAAGCGTATGAAAAATGAAGAAAACAGATTCTTCTCCCAAAACCAGGATTCAGACACTAGGTGTAGATCCAATTTCCCTGAGTCGAGAGTTGCTTTTCCAAGGTACAATCAGGAAACCTAAACACCGAAGAAACGTTTCTATGGCTGGCACAGAATATTTTGGCGAAACAGCTCAACCACGCGACCACATACCTGTCAACACCATGCGGAAATCACACAATAGAGACCTTTAGCATCATGTTTTCATGGCAAACCGCAAACTGTCACGTGACCATGGCCTTGCGGTCACGTTCACCTTTGAACCGCAGGAAGGGCTTCCAGCGGTAAGTGATTTACGGCAATGTTTTTTGCCATTAAAAATTGTACAGCCTCGCGGTTAAAGGCACGAACTTGATTTTTATACCAGTTTGCGATGTATTTGTTGGATTTTCGATCTCGAATCAATGAATTATTCCTGTTTTTTGAGCGATGAAAGTGATGCACTTCGACTTGATGAAAAACAACATGGCGGCACTAAACAATGAACGCGTGGTTCAAATTGATTTTTTATTCCTTTCTGCCGTACTAACATAAGAAAGTTTTCTGTTCCAATCCAGGGTTAAAATTTTTTTTCTTTCTTGTTACTGAATTCATAACTTAACTCAGTATCTGTTTAGTTCCTATTTTTAACGTATCACTCCGTGAATTTCATTTTATTTTACTTATTTCTTTGTGACTGGGGAGCCCAGGCTTCAAAAGCCTTCTGGTTTCTTCTGGGCTCCCTTGCAAACTTACAGTTCCTATATGTATTCTTGTATTGTATTGTATTTTGGCTAAATAAAAATAAATGAACTGAACGCCTTGCTAAAATTATACTCTCGGCAACGTGAAACTGCCAAATCGTAACTGCAAACTGCGGTTTGCGGTTTCCCATGAAAAACCTGATGCTAAACGTCTCTAGTCACACACTTTCGCGGCACTGATAAGACTATCAACAGCCACGCATAATCTTCTGACGTTTAACACAAGCGAAATATCATCGAATATCTCGTAAAAACTCAGCCCATTGGCAGATAAACACCTCTGAACTTTTCTCTTACACTCGTCTTATTCAAGTTCCCGGATTTACGATCACACGGTCGGCAGACCAGCCTAGACCTTGTTTTCACAGCAGGGTCTGGGTCAAAGTTCACCTGCAATGTTTCTCTCGCCTAATTCATTTGACTCCCAAGAGCCTGTTTCCGAGCCCAAAAACTTAGAAGTCACCTTAGAAAAGCGAACAATATCGTATCTTTCTGTCTCAGTCCGAATCAGGGTGATTGTTCCGTTTAACCAAATGAAACGAGAATACAATACGATATTGGACGATGTAAACTCTGCGAATCGTCTTAACATTGTCCCATCTCAGAGCTTTACATGATGCTCTCCGGGAAAATTTTCTCAAGGTGACCAATAACGAAATGTTAACTGCTAAACGGCACCGAAACCACCTTTAGGCGAGCACTGATTTTAAATAACTGCCACTTGTGTTAAATTTAGAATTGTGAGTAGGATCGAAAAAAAAAACAAGAAGGGAGTGAAGGGGGAAGGGGTGGGGGGTAGATAGAAATGCGCGACATTCTGTCTACAGCCACTTCTACACAAATCCCTAACCACAAAACGAACAAAAAAAAAACTCAGTAAAGAAGCTATTAGACAGGGGAAGTTAAGAGAAATTACAAAATGTTTGTTAACACAGTTTTCAAACTTCCAGGTATAATTATAAATGCAAAATTCTTCCAAATTTGTTCATCAGTAATTGGTTATGGTGAATTGTGCGTGTGCTTTCAGCCAATTAGGAAAGGAGAAATATTTTAAATGAATAATAATGAAAGTTGAAGCGTTAAGTCATGGGTGAATGGAACTCAGTCACTACACCAACTTTTATAAGCCCCCCTCCACACCAATCCGGATATTTTTGAAACCGCATACGTTTTTGCACTAATCCGCTGTCCGTCTCCACGAGTGAATCCGCGGGACACCGAAACCGCATTTTTTATGAAAGCGGCTTAAGGCCCCGTCAGACGGATCCGGATAAAAGATATGCGGTTTCAAAAATGCCCGAATTCGTGTGTACATTGCCTAACATGGGTGTCTTTTTAATGGGATTCGACAAATAGATAAATGATGAAATAAGTAAATGAAGTAATAAAGACATAAATATTTAAATAAACTAGATGCGAAAACAGTGCTTTGTTAACAGTAAATCCTGGATTAGCGTTTAACAACTATTTAACCACCAACCAATGGAATTATACCTACAAATGAAACAACAAATGCTTCCATTACATACCGTGTCCTCAGTAGTTGCTGTAGTAGGAATGACCTCACCACAGCAGTTGCATCAATACCATGCTCAGGGAAAGGAGAAAAGTCTTTGGTTTTAGAACTAGCAGCTTCGATCACGTAACTCATGAACATGTCGAACAGCTCGTTGTTCATTACACTTTCACCACCTTCAGCGCCAAAACAAAATAATGAAACAAGCTCCATGAAGAAAGAGTTACATCGGCGGCGAAAGTCAGAGTGTTCTTGGACAGCTTTCCTAAAAATGGCGCAACAGAAAGATATTAGCAGTAGTTCATCAGTACACCTCAAATTTTCCCAGGGACAAACATGATCACACTGAAATGAGCCGTAGCAGGACAACATCCTCAATTAAAAGAAGCACCGTTTCGATCCGTTGACTGTTACGCCAATGTTTGTCGCAGATTTTTAATCAAATTTGTTCATTTTTGTTCAGTCACTTTCATGTTTATTGGTTTTGCACGTTTTGGTCAATAAGTTGTTCGTAAGGTCCCCCATAACCGTTGGCCTCGACCCAAGGCGTTGGTTCTTAATTTAATAGTAAGCTGTAAACCATCTTTCTAGGCAATAAATAAAAGTAAGGGGGACAAGTTTGTAATTTTCCGCCTTTCACTCCAAACTAGAAACTAACCCTTTTAAGTAAGAAAAGAAATCTAACCTTATAATTTGGGTGGACTGTATCCTAAAATCCTCAGGGATGTCCTGTCTGCACATAGGACAATTTCGTTCCTGTACTATCCATTCAGAAATGCAATGCAGACAGATCACGTGACTGCAAGGTATTTTGACCGGGTCCTTTCCAACTAAGCCGTCCAAGGGAATCATGATATTGATTAAAATGATGCCGTCCGCATATTAGGCACATGCATCTGGTTGTTCCAAGCCCGAGAATAGAGAACTACACAGTACAGCAGACGTATTTCCGGTCGTCTCTTCTCTCCCTCCGAGAAGCGACCACCGGAAATACCGTCTGCTGTTCACAGGCTAAAAAATAACCGGTCTAGATTTGCATCAATCGACCTTCGAAAAACTCAACCCTGGCTTTAACCTTTAATTCCCGACAACACTATACAAATTCTCTTGCAATGATCTCCCTATACTATATTCTAGTTGAGAAAATTTGTTTCAAGATCAAACCATTTTTCCTTCTGTGATCACTTCATTAATTCTCACAACCTTTCCTCTTGAATATGTATTGATATTGTCATATAAAATTAGTGTTGGTCAATATTGGGGCTTAAGGGTTAATCACTTTGCTTAACCTCTGAAAAGTTTAATTTGAAACGCCGACTGGAAGTATCTGTATTAAGCTAATAAGGTAATAAATACTACAATAAGAAAACTTTCAAAATAAAGCTTCTTTCCTTTTTCGTCATTTTAAGTTTTGAAACCATAAAATATCAAATAAAGAAAAAAATGCGTCCTTCGCCCCTCGCCCACTAACGACGTTTATCACATTAAACAATCGTACCTGGTATAGCGTTTACTGACAGCCTCACTACAGTCAACCAGAAACTTCTCAATGACCCGCATGGTGTGTAGCTTTGCAAAGTCTGTATCTTCTCCCAAGGCCTGTAAGGAGAGCGTTTGTATAATAATATAATAATAATAATATTTATTGCTTATAGCGCGCAAATTAACATTCGAATATGATCAAATGCGCGTTACATCTAAGATACCTAAAAACTATAAACAAAAGCAGTAAGAAAACTATATACATCATATAAAAACTAAAAATACATCATAAAAAAAGAAACTAAATTACACCATGTTAAAAATAAGATAATGAGCAACTAAATTAGATACAACTAACAGAAAGCCATGCGAAACAAAAAAGTCTTAACCTTAGTTTTAACACTGTTAAAACGTGTCTCGTGTCTGATTTCACGAGGGAGTGAATTAAAAAGCCTGGGGGCTGCCACGGCAAACGCCCTGTCACCTAGTGTTTTCTTGGTTTTACCATTGTATGGTTCCAATAGTATCTCATTGTTTCGACGAAGCAAATATTTGCTAGGGCATAAAATGTTAACTAGATTACTAATATAATTAGGAGCTAGGCCATTAATAGCTTTAACATTTTAAATTGTACTCTCTGTTTTATGGGAAGCCAGTGAAGGGAGCGGAGCACCGGAGTTATGTGAGAAAACTTTGCTGTTCCAGTTATAAGCCGGGCTGCTGCGTTTTGAACTCGCCGAAGTTTGTTTAAAGAGTTGTCCGGGAGTCCACATAGCAAACTGTTACAGTAATCAATTCTACTTGTAATCATGGCATGTACTTATGTCTTAGAGGTGTCCGTTGTAAGATACTTCCTAATTCTCCTAATGTTATAAAGCTGAGAAAAGGCAGATTTACAAGTGTTATTTATAAAAGGAACTAAAGTCATATTACTGTCAAAGTATGCTCCTAGATTTCTAGCAGATAGCACTGGTGAGATTACAGCATCGCCGACAGATAGAGTATCAGTGCGAACTTTCTTCAGTTGTTGCGAGGTTCCAGTAATAAGAAACTCAGTCTTGTCGTCATTAAGTTTCATCTTGTCCTGGATCATCCACGCTCGTACGGCCCTAATGCACTTCCCCATAGCAGAAAAGCACTCTGCCTCGCTAGTACTGCAATCTGGCTTAAAAGATACGTAAAGTTGTGTGTCGTCTGCATAGGCATGCGCGGACGGGAGATGGTGCTTTATGGCCTCGAATAGCTTACTGGCGTACAAAGTAAAGAGCAGGGGTCCAAGGCAGGAGCCCTGAGGTACACCACATGCCAAATAAAAGCTCTCGGAAACTCCATCTCCAAATACAAGACGCTGTGAACGGTTACCCAGGTATGGAGAGAACCATATATGTATTAGACATGTGCACATTTGAGGAAGCACGATAAATACGTCTGTATATTTAAGACACTCTGTTTTTTCGAACGAACAATTTTGGCTGTATATATATATATATATACAAGCCTTTTTCGCGATCTCTCACTCTTCAGGGGATTTTAATGATAAGAATATTCATAACCATCGACTATATACTTTGACATTACGTTGTTGGGCAAAATTTAAATTTAAATGTTTAATTGTTACATAGCAACGCTTTGTTTCTGTGGCGGCAAGAAGATACAAGTTCGTTACGTTTGTTAAGTGATGATAGATTAGGACGACAGATAATTAAAAATTTCTCTTTGAGGCAAAGGTTACACCTTTTACTTGTACAGGTAATCACATGATTTCGAGTGCAATTTGGAATAAAGAAGCATAAGTAAATTTTTTCAAAGGCTAACAAAATTGCACGAGCCCGTAGGGCGACTGCAATTTGTGGTCTTTGAAAAAATTTACGAGTGCTTATTTATTCCAAATTGCACGAGAAAAATCATGTGATTACTTGTTAATAATATTCATGAAAAAAATGCGAGATAGCTTAAAAATCACGTAAACCACGTGTAAAAATAATTTATTCAAGTGCTGCAAATATCATCACACGTGCAGTCAAAACAACATTTTTCTCGACGTTTTTTAAGTCTGATACATTTTGGGCTGGAACTGTCTTGGCTTTGCACTCAAACCTCCAGGTCTTGTTTTCGTAGGCTCTTCTGCAAACTCAACAAATTCGATGCCGTCGTCACCATTCATGATTCTGAAATCCTCCAGTCTCATTCCGTGGTGTTCTTGCCTTCCACGAAGACCAAAGTGTTGGGTAAGGAGCCACCACATTGTTTGAATTAAAGATTCTGGGTTATTACCTCCGAGTTTTCCGCTCTTGCAGAGAATTTCTTCTTCCTCGTCTGATACTTGTCGAGCTTTGTTTGGGCGCTTACCACGGCCAGCCAAGCGAAGCTGTTTCGCTTTGCCTTCCAACACCTGTTTGGACGAACTAAATTCTCGGTCACGTACAATGGACAAGGTGTAGCCTTTGTTCTTTAAGTGTCTGTCAACTTTGAGGCTTTCTGGTTCATGATCTTCACCTTGTTTATTTTTTAATTCGGCGTAGAAATGCTCGAGCAAAGTGTTAAGCTCAGCCGGCTCATAATATTCTATTTCATCTGTAATTTTCTTCTCTAAGCACCACTTCTTCCAGACAGAGAGCCAAAAATCGGTGCTTTTTGCAGTGTTTTCGTTTTTGGAGCAGTTTTTCAGCTCCTCTATAGTTGTTGCGGTCGCAAAAGCAAATCTGCTACAAACGCCAGCCATTGCGGTTTTTGCTCGAAACTGGTCAAGAGCGGATCAAAATTTTGCGCCATTCAGATGACGCACTTGATTGGCTCTCAGTGAGTTCCTTTGTTTATTAACCAATCAGAATGCCTCGTTTGTTACCTCTTTTCTGCACTAAATTACCTTTTTTCTGCACTGTTACCAAAAAGGTGCATTTTTCTTAGCCAATCACAATCGAGAAATTTTTTCATGTATATTATTAGAACTGTTACAGGATGAGCTAGATGAAATGATACGCCATGAAATAGAATAGACAATGTTGTTGTCTTTCAGGGACCAGACATGTTTACTGAGTTCCGTAGAGTTCCTGTGTTTTGGGTGACAGAATGATGCAGTGTGGTTTCTGTAACTAGTTTTGAAGGCGTTTTCTGTGAGTCCCATGTATGTTTCAGAAGTGTTATTGTCGTTACGTTTGACGGTTGCTTGGTAGATAACTGATGATTGAAGGCAGTTTCCGTTAAGAGGACATGAGTTTTTTTGTCGGCAGTTACATAATTTGTTGTCAACAGAGTTATCTGTGGATTTATCTGTGTGTTTGGATGCATTCAGGATACGCTTGTTGTGGTTGTCGATAATTTGTTTAGTGTTATTCATGCAACTGTAGCTGATCTTGATGGTATTGCGGTTGAAGATTTTTCTGAGTTTGTTCTTTTTAGGGAAGTGTTTGTCTACTAGGGTGAGAAATTTGTGACCGATGTTGGTGCTGACGCTTTTGCTGAATGGGGGGTTGTACCAGAGGATGTTGTTGCGTTGTCTGTTTCTCCGTTTAGCAGTTGTAGTCGGTTCGTAGTGTAGAGTGTAGTGGTATCCGCTTTCGTCGAGTGCTTTTTGGTATGGGGGGTGGCTTGGTCGAATGATGCTTTGTCCGATGAAAGGGATGATAGCCGTCTGTTGATGCCGGCGGGTATGTTCTTTGTGGTGACGGTGGGTGGTTGCTCTCGCGATGGACGTACTATAGCGTGGTTTTAGGCTTTGTGAAGGGCCGGTAGGTGCTGTGATGCGTAGCCCATTTTGGTTAAAGAACGGCATATTTCCTTCTTGATGTTTTCTGTCTCTCGGTGCGGCATTAGAAATGGTTTCTCGAGGACGTGGTTAGAATTTGTGTCTTTCACACGCTCTCAGTAAAATCATGCTAACCATGTTCTTCTTGCTTAATCCTTGCAGGCTTCCCTGATGTCGGTAGCAACTGTTATATGAATTGCCTTTTATCAGTTCTCCAACATGTTCGTTTTATAACTGATCTCAGACAGGCATCCAAAGTTATACTCGGGGGATGTCCAACAATGACAGCCACTGTTAAGATCTACGACATTGCTTCGAAAGTGCACACTAAGGGATTCCAGGTAAGTATTTCATGGTATGGGTTAACTTTATCTTTGCTTTTTACAGTCGTTTATTATTTAGATAGGGTTCTCAACTTGTTTTCTTTTGCAGCGGCAAGAATATGAATGTAGCGTAGCAGAGCTTCTGACAGCCATTGACTGGGATAAAAAAGATCGCGGTGTTGGGTTTTGGAACGACACAATGGTGTTTTATCAAGTGCTTCTGGAAAAGTTGGAAGTAGAAATGGAGGTGACCGTTAATGTAAACAAACTGTAGTTACGTTATCTACTAATTGACTGTAAATAGAATCATAGATCAAAGCGTTGGAAATTAAGGCTTTCCCTTCCCAACCCACTTCTTCGGCTCCTTGGCCTTTTTTACAAAATCAAAGTAATTCTTGAAGCTGTATCCCCAAAAAAGGGGAGCTTAAGGAAAGGTGATTTGTTTAGCAACGCACTCCGTCAGGAAGTGAGGCCTTTGCCGGGCCTCAAACATTTTTCGACGTAGCAAATTAGTATTGCTAACTGTTATTAATCCTGTAGAGGAGATTGTTTGGAAACATGGGCAGAGCCACTTTCAGTTGCAGCCCGTCGCTGAAAATACGCCTCCGGTTAAGTTCACTATCAAAATGGGGCATTGGAAGGGTGGGGCAACTTGACAAACGTTGACAATGGCTGAACAGTGATGCATTACCATTTTTAATTAAAGGACCAGGATGGGCTCTTTGAGGGGACGTGCAAGTCTTTCAAAGAAACGTATTATAGTCGTGTGCATGACTCCGATGCAGATAATGAAAATGGGAACGTCTTCATCTACAGTATCCTTTTTCTCAACCACCAAATATTAATCAAGAAATAAAACTGTTTATAAAATCCTGTCGCTACGCTTGGTCATCTAAAGCCGGCTTTTGGATGGCGTCATAGTTGGTAACGTACTGTTGTTTCGGTTTTGGAATGAAAAATTCAGTAACCGGTTTTTATTATAAATGTGTCTTGAGTAGGCAAAATAACGCAGCATGCGGATATTATTGCGTCTTCTTTTTTGGGAGAATTAACTTAAAGCATCCGGGCAGTGTAAATTTGTTCATTCCCTTCCAAGATACATGGAAACAAAAAGGACAAATTATTGTTCAAATAACAGCATTAAATGATTTTCTTAACTCAGTGTCCAGAGTCTCCGTGTAACTATCTAATCGTGCCGGCCAGTTGGGAGGAAGGAGACTCACTTACTCGTTTATTGGAGGTCGTGCAGACAGGAGTCACCAAGGTAAGCAAAAGATATTCCGATATTCATCCTATTTGAAATGTAGCCAATGAAACTCGATAATCTGAGTAGTTCTTCATGTGTTTATACCTGACCTTTTTGCGACATAGCCTACTCACGTTTTCATTTCTGTTTTTCTTTTCTGCGTCATAGGATATAGAGCTATCAGCGGCACCACGAAGAGTGATCAAGTATAGAAGACTTGCAAACGTATTTGCTATTTGCCTGAACCGTACAGTTAACGTAAGAAAACCTGAAGTTGTAGTTAAATTTTGACATGCATCAGCACATAATGTTTGGGTTACCAAACCTGACTTAAAAGATTTGTGAAAACCAACCATTAAAGTGCACTTTATTTTTAATTTTCTTGCAGGCTAAAGTTGACATTCCATTGACGTTATCGGAGTTTTCCCTTTCTAATCCTGGTGAATTAATGCCCCTTTACGGGTCCAGTGCCAATAACGTGATATTGTGGGGAGCAATAAGCCATGAATTGGGGCATTACACCAGTATTGTGAGGATTACAGCGACTTCCCGCGAATGGTTAGTGTCACACGTACGTTTAATTCATCGTACATCTACCTGTCGTTTCTTTCAATATCATTATTTTCCCATTCCCGACTACCAATAAAATCTGAATAGGTTACAGTTTGACGGGGACCGAAAGCCAGTTGTTCTACAATACCCAACGGTAGCAATGTTAACGTCTTGACTTTATTTTTTCACCTGGCTATCTGTATTTCGTAGCGGGCGTCCTATAAAATTACAGCAGGGGCCTCTGGTAAAGACAAGAAAGATCCACCTGTTTACCACATGGTGCTCATGGGTAATCCGGGAACTGGGAAAATGACGATAGGGAGGTTGATGGCAGGTGTGTGAATTCCCGATTACTGGCATCAGCCAAATAACAGTTGCGCCCTCAATAAGAGGGCAACCTCTTATAAGCGGCCAGTGATCAAATTGTAGGAACGAATGACTGGACTAAGAAGTTATACACATTTCAAGCCGCCACCTCCACTGAGCGACAGCGGCAACCGACAACGGGTTATTCTATTGTTGTCACCTCAATTAACCAGTCGTACGTCTAGTTACGAATATGATGAAGGAAAGTATCGTCGTTATAGAAGGTGACGGCCAATTGTGGACCCGTAACACACCTTCCCTCGCGCACTTGTTTCAAAATAAAGCGAAGTTTCTGCTGATGAACCTCTATCGACCGGCTAATCTCTATTAAGTGATCACTTACAGGTACCCGGAGGGTGGCTGCTTAATGGAGGTTAAAATGTATTTATATTTTTCTAGGCATCTTGAAAGACCTGGGAATTACCAAAACATCAAAGTTGGTCGAAGTTCAACGACCCGATCTTGTTGCCTCGTTTCTCGGGCAGACTGCCTCCAGACGAAAGTGTGTATCGAGCGGGCAGAGGGCGGCGTACTTTTCGTAGATGAGGCGTATCGTCTGAAGGTGGACTCCGAGAAGGATTACCTTGATGGAAGCCATGCTCCGAGGTAATCCAGTGATGACATTTGCTGGATACCCAGCTCGGATGGAAGAGTTCATAAAATTGAACCCCGGTTTTAGGCGTAGAATAAGAGCAATGTTCATATGTGATGACTTCACGTGCGAAGAACTTGCTGATATTTTCATGCGGAAGCTTCAAACGCGTGGTTTCAATACTGACATAACAGTACAGGAATTGGGTAATCTGATCGCTCTGCACACCCCGGAGGATTTTAGAAAGGCGTGGAATGCGGGGTTTTGTGATCGTTTATTTGAGCTAGCGAAGGAAAGCCTCGCCGAAAGGCTATGCTCTGACTCCTTTGGAGAGGTGAAGGATGATGAATCAGAGCTCTCGCAGATATCAAAAGAAGACATCCAAAAGGCCATTGGCATGAATTTCTCATAGTTCGGTTTTTCATATTAGACCCGGGCACCCCTCTAAGTCTTTTGTTGTATGTCCGGCAGTCAGAACAATTTTTTTTCCGCATTATCAAATGTCTGTTGTTGTTTCATTTCATTGGTGTCCTTGAAAAGAAGGTTGCAATGTTATGCTTTCTGAGATTTAAAAAATGAATTTTAAAAAAGAAATAAAAAAGGGATGACAGGAAGCACTGTTATAAATAGAATTGTTATAGTTCTGGGGAATAAAAGGCATAAAAGGAATAAAGGGAATTCTTGGTAGGGGTGTGCCGCCGCCCGGTTCTCCAAATCCTGGCAGTATTTCGGACCAAAAAAAATGTCATTTCCCACATCCTTTTTCAGTTCTGGAGGTGGTAACAAAACACAACATTACGTGTTTGGAAACAGAAATTATGTTATCATTGATAAGACGAAAACCGCAACAAACAGATTTCTTAAAAGTCATTTCGAATCCACATATTACACTTTCTTCTTTTTTGGAATTGAAAAGACGAACACATTGATATACAGCCGTACTTAATGGGACCCGTCTACAGGCCAACACGGCGCAAAATTCCTACCCTTTGGGGCGGCACATACCTGTATGGTTTATATCAGGCCCTTCCCCCCCGGGGTAAGATGACACTAATCGAGTTGCATTATTTTGTTTCTCGGACTTTCAATGCTAAAATGAATGAGTAACATATAATTTCTTAACAACTTGGACCACGCGTGCACGCGTCTTACATCCTGCCCCTTATCAATGTATGTAAACAGAGTGACTTCATTTATAATATAGCCAAGTGTTTTGTTGACATTTAAACCAATTATTGCACCTGATAACCTTGGAAAAAAGGATGCATAACAGTACAGTTTTCGGCTCACACAATAATAATAGTAAACGAAAGAACTTCTACAACCAACCTACAGGCTGTTGTAAAATAGGAGCGCGAACTTGATTTAAGAATCATTGAGAAGCACATCAATGTGGTTCAGTAAAAACCAAGAAGCTGCCTATTTATGTGTGTGTAAATAAGCACAATATCACAAATAAGGCATTATTTACAGAAATAGGCTTTTTTACATGAAAAGCAGCTTTGTTACAAAAATTTTTTTCTGTAAAAATACATCTTTTTTACATAAAAAAATCAACTTTCTAACAAAAAATATATTTTTGTAAAAACGCTGCTTTTTCTAAGAAATTATACATATATATATATATATCTACATATAACTTCACAGAAGTTCAGGTTTCACGAGTAATCATCGTTTTATTGCTACAGAACTGTTTCGTATGGTGAAACGACCACACTCATCAGGCAATTTTGACGACTGAACTTTGTCTGGGGCTCAAGTTACGGCACTCTAAGTATAACCCTTGAGGAGTAAGGCATCTAAAAGCTCGGGATCTACAACTTAATGGAACACTCTTGCTAGTTTAACTTAAAGTCACCGGCTAAAATACATAGAAAAGACGAGAGTACCACGGTGCCTTCTATTCTCACCCAACCTCGTTCCAAAGCTTGGGGATGGGTAGAAAAGGTTGATTCTCACCTTCCAAAGCTTGAAAGCATTTACGTCATCCGCTGGATGACATGTCGATGAACCAAGACAGGTGTGTTCTATAAACAGTCTTACAGCGCACACTCTTTGCCAAGTTGACCTGTTGGGATGGCAAAATAAAGAAGAGAATAGCATGGAAAGTAATAATCAACATAATTTGGAATTCTAGACGTCAGTCACTTTCCTATTGATCGCCAAGTTTCAACAGCGTCCTGCTGGTCTTCATCAGATCTGTTTTGATCATCGCCTGATAAAGACCAGGAAAAAGAGGTCTAAACCACTGTGAACCGAAAGATCAAGGAACCTATTATGAAGAGAACGTATTTTACATAAACCTTTTGGCTCAAACATCATGTCAATCTAAGTTCTTTATCTGTGGATGGAATCCTATAGTATTACTATTCACATGAAGCCTCTTTTGCAGAAAGTTTTCATATTGCTATTTATTTCGTGGAATTTGCAAAAAGAAATTTCAAATTTCTTCGGCCTTTATTAGCAGTAAAAGAGCTATTGCAAGAATTCTAAATTTACAATACTTGTTTTTTAGGCTGTCCTTAGTGTAATAAGGATTTACCAGAGATTTGCAACAGACTACAAGGATCGTTTTTCCAGGTATCACTAAATTGCTCGTCACAGACCTGCAATGATTAAGAATCTGAGTTGATTTAGGTCCATACTGTGATTTGCTGTAAAGCATGTTTTCGGCGCTTGATCTGATGGACAGGACTCTGTTGCACCACACTAAGCAAGTCTGAGAATCAGCGAACTCTTCTGCTCTTGGTTCAAGCTGTGACAAACACAACCGAAGGGCAACTGCATCAAGGACCTAAATGTTGGATTCAAGAAGTTAAGGAAACAGTCATGGGTAGCCCAGAGGCACGAGCTTTAGATAGTCACAGCAAGGATTTCCGAGAGTAAATGTTTTGTGCCAGGAGTCGGGTTTCTCCCTCGCAAATCACAAGGTTAGTAGTCAGAAGCTACTACACTACAATAGACGGTCAGATAGTGTTATCCGGCCATGTTTAAGTTTGATATCTTTCTTCATTACATTCACTGTCTTGGGACAAAGTTGGTGCTGGTTGTGCTTTCGAGTTTCTCTGCCTAAGCTTTGTGAAAACACTGTGGAGTAGGGAGTAATAGGTAATGTATCCATGAAAGAAAGTGTTCAATAGGGTTATTGGTCGGCTTTTCATACAAGTCCATTCACAGAAAGTAAACAACATATTTTTGCATCTATTCCGTAGAGTTTCTGAGGGAAATATGTGCATTAGGTCCTACAAACCACATGACAACTACTACTTTCTTCAAAGCAGAAAGTATTACAGGGAGTGTGTTTTACCAAATATACATTTTTAGTGCTAAGTAATTTATGTGAGTGCAGAACACTTACATTACGATTACAGTTTTCAAGAACACTTTGCAAGATGCGAAGTAACAACAAAACGTAGCTTCGGGTTTGTGCCCAAAAAAAGAAAACCGTCTAGTAGACTACTTAGTTTCTTTCCTGTGCCCTCGAAAGCCCAGTCATGGGACATATTAATTATTAGGCTACCTAACTTATACCCTTTCTTACCATCTCCTGTTCGTTGGGCGGAATGACTTCTAGAAGACCGCTTACAATGTCCCGCTGCGCATGTAACAGTTGGCTGAAATTTGCCAAGCGTTTCTCGATGGCGTCATGCACAACATGGATAAGAGGGATGCTGAGATTAAACTCCTCTGAAAAATTCGAGTCGACATACCATTCGCGAGCGGCTGTGACAATAGCCTGACGGAGTAGCTAAAACAAAATCAAAAAAAGGCTAGCGGTGAGCTCTTACCAATATATTATTGCAGTGTCTACGAGAAAGATTTGCTTTACTTGCAACCCTCATTCACAAAAAGGTCCAGTAGTGTACATGACATTATTAAGACATTTGAGAGATTCAGAGTCACGTTTACGGCAAACGGCAAACGTCAGTTTTAAGTTGAGAATTTCTCAAAATAGAAAATAGGCATATAAAACGGCTCAAAACAATTCTTATGGATTAAAAAAAAAACCCTAGTATATAATGCAAAATAATCTTAATCAGTTCGATCGTCGATCGTGAAAGGAGCTGCAGGGTAGGAAAACACCAGTAACATTCCGGAAATTATGCCTTATACCTTTTCCTCTTCAGGTACTAATGGCTTCAGCACCATGTGAACAAAATCATGAAGATAACGCTCAACGGCAGCTTCTTTACAACCTTCTAACGAAGACTCGTCAAGAAAACGGCCCATTTCACTATTGTTTACAAGGTCATGTAAACACTGTTGAATTGGCGTGTTTGATCCCGCTAAGGACAACAAAGGACACAACAGTATCAAGATGAGATCGTAGACGTTTTTCAGAGACAATATGAAAAATGAAACAACTCTTTTTTAAAAGAAAAAAAGTGTCTCACCAGCAATGCTCGAAGCCTCCCTCCACATGGCATCAATTCTTTCCTTAATTATCCAAGAGAAAGGAAACTGCAGTTCAAACGACTGCTTTTCACGACCCGAGGTGACCACAGGAACACGTTCTCGTATGATACCACTTTCCAGCGACAAAAAGCTCTCATAATGAAGTTCGACTATGTTTTCACTTTGGAAAAACCCTAGCCAAAGACTTGAAAACCAATTCCCTCCATCCATCAGCAGGTCTAGGTTGGAGTCACGGTCAACGAAAGCGATTACTTCAGAAAGAATTGAAATAACTGATGAATAGACTCTTTGCCACAGGGCTTTCCTGAATGTTCCATTTTCTTGGATTCCAGTACCGCTTAAAGCCTCAGAGCGTAGCCAGTCATTTGCCTTATTTCCAGCCCGTTCATCCTTTTCTTGAAGAAGTTTGTGGATTCGTCGAGCCAGAATAGTAGAAAATGATAGATCTATAAAGTAAGAAGAAAAAATGTTGCTGACATGATCAATTGGTTACTAGAAGCCAATCAAACCATGAAGAAAGATCCTTGTTGACAAAACGCTCAGCACGGGCAGTTGTCTAAGGAATCGCAGTGACTTCAAACTGTTTCATACTTTGCAAGGAGTCCACTGGCTTGGTATAATGTTGTGAAACTTGAGACAATCATAACGAGGGAATAATTAAAGATAACTGAACGCCACCCTTACCAGTCCCATCTGTTCTACCGTCTCGAAGAAGACTCAGCATAAGCTCAATTCGCCGTGTTGATCGTGATGAGCGCCATGGTTCAGCATCAATTCTTGCAATAGCTGCTTGAACACAGCTTCTCAAAAGGCTGACGATATTTACTCTATCCGCAATAGCATCACTCTGTTCGTCGACTTCCATGTCATCTCTCGCTGCCTCAACGTATTTTTTGTCCACCCGTATGCTGCTTGATGCAACATCAAATAACTCACTCATTGACCGATCCACCATGAATTGAATGGCTGGGATGTGACCAGTTGGCGGTCGAAGTTCGTCAATGTGAACAGACAGCTTCCTTCCTCCCTGGAAACCAGCAAATGCTCCACAGCCTCCGACAAGTCGAGGAAGTTGAATAATCATAACTACATGCAGAAATGATGAAGGGTCATTCCCAAAATTTTCTTTGAAATCTTCTTTTGCAGTTGTCCTTTGTTCCACGAGAAGGTGTCGGGCACAGGGAATCAAATTACGATTGACGTCTCCAGCATCGCATTGCACGATAAGCAGTCCTTTCCTCCCACCAAGTTGTGCAAAGAAATCCCTATAAAATCACAAGGTGATAACATGCAACAATAGATTGAGTCTTTGAGTTAAATGTTTCGGCTGGACTGCTGTTAGGAAGCTTAAGCAACCACGACGGCAAAGGCTTTAAAAACGGCACATCGCTCTTAATCCATTTCGTTTAATTGGTCAAAATAAGGTAAATTTTTTCTGCAGTTGTCAAGGAAGTACTTGTGACATAAGGACGACGAAAGTATCTCTAAAACGCAAAACTTACTCACCTTTGTTTAGGTGGGATATGGAAAAATGATGCTCATTCAAAAAATATCCTCTGCCCCCCTCGTCCCTGCAAGTAAGCTCACTTCCTATCTGCCTAAAGTTTAGAAATGCAATAGTAGTTAACACTTGCAATTAATTTTGTATACCTCACAGATGAGCAAAACTGTTGTTCCGTGTGGAACTGCTGAAGACTTAGACATGTTACGTTTGGCAAGGGTAGAGATGTAGCACGTGCTATGTCTTGCAAATCATTTGACGACAGCAATCTGGAATGAGTTGTCACCTACAAGAAAAAATAAGTTATCTCCGGCAATACAGAGAAGTCATAGTGGTTATGACAATTAACAGCCTAGTTACATCAAATTCAATATTATTCCACAGTTATTACGTGCTGGTTCATTAATTACCGACGCGAGATCAAATCAGCGCTCACCTGAATTAAACTCCACTTTCCGGAATGCCCTCCCTCTATTGTCAGCGCATTTCTTAGAAAAGCTGTTAGACTTGAATGTTCCTGTATTGTAAAGTAATTTGTCCAGAGCTCGTCTGCTTGGGGAGCAAGGTGTGTAGATAGCAGACGTACAACAGCATCCGGAGTTGCGCATTGTAACAACAATTCTTTCGATTCCTGGAAGAGCTGAAAGGCAAGCAAATGTTAATCGATCAAGCAAATAAGGTGTGTGAATACTAACTTTCCTACTTATGAAGGTGTATTTCCACCACTTTCAGTAAAAAGAATGCGATTCTATGGGTTCATCAATGGTTTCATCACACTTTGCTAACAGACAGAGTGGTAAAGAGACGATAAAGAAAAGCAGTGTGCTTCTGGAAAACGGAGAAACGACCATTTGTGACACCACCTCAGATTCTTTGAACGGCTATGATGAAAAAGAGCAGATTGGAAGGAAACTTAGCATTAAATACTGTACCAGAAACTAATGAGCTACCAAAAAAGGTTAAATTAGCCAACACTGGGTTCAAATTCATCCAAATTACGTCTCACTATACCTTGTCTTGCAAATGTTTATCACTGAACTCGCTTTCTTCAATGTTGCTGGTTACTTGCAGTACGGCGCAAGCTGCTGTGTCAGCATGGTAACCAACAAATGCGTCACCAGGCGAGTACTTCCTGTGAGGATCAAAATTACATCACAAACATCAGAAATGAATAAACTTCATTATTATTCATTCAAACTATTTCTCTGTTTCTGATTGGCTAAAATCCCACACATGATTCATAGCCAGCTATTGTCGACCGAATTTGGAAGAATTTTGCGATATGAAAAATGACGTCAATCTTGCAGAAAAATTGCCAAATCGTGAACCGTTAACCGAGAAGACCTGGGGACGAGTTTAAGTTGTTATGTAAGTGAGTAGTGAGGGTATTTTGTTAGGGGAATAGTACGCGGGTTCCATCCGTAAAGTGAGGATGTTTTGCAGTCTACAAATTTGTTTCTTACCTCATGCACAATAAAAATATATCTTACAGAATTTTTGAAAACGTTACTGTCAAATAGACCTCTTCCATCAAGCAGTTTTGTTTTCGCCCCAAAACGTAGCCAATATAAAAACTAAGAGTGCAACCATGGCAATTTTTTCCCCTCCTTTCTTTTTCTTTGCTCTTCTATTTTTTCTTTTCTTGTCCTTCGTTGATGTGGTTTCGGGCTTATCGGACACAAAAACCTGCCTTTTGGCCCTAACAAACACTGACAAATTCCTGGCTGACTTTCTGTCTTTACCTTAATTGCTGGTGACGAGGCATGTCGACATGAGAAAAGCTTTTTACCCATTCCTGCAACTTGTCCACCAGGACCTTTTGTGGAGAACTGAGACTTGCTGAAGTGACCAGGTAATGTTTCTCCAAGCGATTGATGAGAGGAATCGGAAACTTACTGTACACAACATTTTTTCTCAGCAATGACAATCAATCTGTTTGACAGAAAATGAATTGGTAAACGTTACTTAAAGCAGAATTGCCAGACCACATCGCGTAAGTCACATTATTCAAAAATGAAGCTATTAGATATCCAAGCACCTTCGTTATAAAGGAGTGTAATAAAACGACCTGAATTCTTCCAGCGAAAACTTGCGGGCTGCGTTTGGAGCGGTTAAATCGAATCTTTAACATCTAAACGCCATAAACACTATTTTTATGTACTGTTGGTGTGGCAATGACTGTTATGATATCTAGAACTTTCTGGAATTCATCTACATTTGCTTTTAGATAAGAACGTTCTAGAATGTCAATTTGCTGATCTCTACCGTTATCCCAAACGTTATGTAAGTCTCTATAAATAGACTGACTATGTATTTGTCGGAACATTCTAGAAACCCCCTCTTTAAGGTATATGAGCAACCCCTGTACTAGTTTTGTGTGTGTGTTAGTATGTCATTAGCTCTACGACTGTAACCTACTTCTGAAGTGATTAAAGTTTGCGTTCCTCATTAACTGACAAAACTATGACAAGAAATTACATATAAGTATTGACGGGCGATGTTCACGGACTGAAAGTTCTGTCTAAGGACGTTTTACCTGAATTCATCGTGGACGCGACATTTTACACGGTGACTTCCAAGGCCAAGATCCACATATTTCTGTCCTCCAAAATACACATAGTACTGGAAGTGCAGATTAAAAATAATATATCGCAAAAGTTAACGCCGTTATAAAGGTAGTCAATAAAGCTTAATTTACGCCAAGAAATGTGTGTATCTATTTGAAGATTTATTGATGAGTGATTGACTTAAGAAGTTTTAAAATGTCAAGTAATAATACGAAGAAGACATTATAAAGAATGACTTGTACTTATACCGAACGTTGTGTATATAATATTGCCAGACACTTATACCTGGTTTAGTGCGTCATACAGACTTTCATAGAGGCTCTCCAAGTTCAAAAGAATTACAGTTCTTCCCGTTTCCATGCACACTTTAATTCGATTTATGTCACGGCAGATCTGAAACATGAAACGACAACTCAACAAAACATTCCACAGATTGCTATAACAGCTAATAGAAGTCCAATGATCATGGGATCACAGCTTAAAGAAAGAACTGATGGACCCTGATGACTTTAACACGATATTTTTCTTCTTTTAAAAAACGGTAGCAAGCTATCTTAAAACCGACTCTTTTCCAGTATATCTCCATAACGGCTCCATCTCTGCTACTAAACTGTCCTCAGTCCCCAAGTTGAGGTTCAACTGTAGTTGGTTAAGGTCAGTTGGTTCCTGGGAGGTAAATGGTTGGTTAAATGGAAGAGGTTGTTTTTATGGGTTGTAACGTAAAATACAGGCCATTGCCCTAAAATATTGATGTCTTCAACAATGTTTCTGCTAACTCTTCTCTCTCCATAGAGGCCTCTTCGTGTCTTACGCGAAGGAAGATGGGAAGGGCTTACAGGCTTACTACACACTTACTATTATACACTCTGCGGAGGAGAGAGCAAGTCTTGTTACTGAAACAGTCTAATTAACGAAACATCCATCTCACGAGTGACAACACTTTTAATTACTCTTTAATACAGCTGTTAGTACCTGAGTGTATTCTTGGTCCTTGGGAAAGCTGCTGCCGAAAATTACGACGGGTTCTTCGCCTTTTTTGTGCAGTTCCTGCTGAACAATAGGCAAGGCTGCATAGTTCTCTGTCAGCACCAACAAGTATCGACTCTCTCTATTGAAACGAAAACGTCAAGTGGGAAGAGGGCGGTAAAGGGGATTTTCGTGAACCGTGAATTGCTGGTTTTATTCCCCATGAATTGTGAAATCACCTTTCTATTCCTCGTGAAACGTGAGTTTGGTAATCGCCGTGAGCCGTGATTTTTCATAATAATTATCTGTGAAACGAGAATCGAGTGTTGAATTACCGTGAACTGTGGCAGTGAAGTGCCACAAGATGATGAAAGATTAGATGGATCTTCATCTGAATTTCTAAAACCAGACCAGCTCTCTGAATACGATAACGACTCCTCGGATGACAATGTTTCTGTATTAGAAGATGGTGCGGAGCCTCAATTTCTAAACAAAGAACTCGGTTTCCTTTTCACAGCACCAAGAACAAGAAGCGTCAGAATGGTGGGAACATCGAACAAGGCAGTTCTTTTGGCTGTAGTTCTTAACCAAAATAAGCAAAACTGATCGTATAAAAACATTTTTTCTCTTGAAACGTGAATGCCGAATTTATTGTCCGTGAAATGTGAAACGGCCATTTTATTTTCCATGAAACGTGATCAATGATAAACGAAGTGGGTCATTTTACAGCACCGTTCAAAAGTAATGAGAGCGAAGTTCGCCGAATTCGTCCTTTACCTGCATTGCTTTGAATCGCTTC